ATAATTATTATTTACTCACTAGCCCCTATGAAACTAGTATATAAAGGGGGTTATTCATTTGTAACTCACCAAGCAAAATAATCAAGTTCTCTTCAATAAAAAGCTTCCTTTGGCAAATTTCTCGTCTTTCTTATCTAACATTCTCTTAGCGATCTTGAGTGTAGTATTTTAGGCTGACTTGGCACAGCAAGATCGTGATCGAGTTGTGCAAGATCGTAAGCAAGTTGTCAAGTGCCGCACGTGCGCTTAGTTCAAGACTAAGGACGTGACAATTGGCTTGTTATTTCACATTGCATGTTGTTCATTTTTTAGTTAGAATTGATAGATATTGTCAAACATTTGCAAATGTTATGATATTATATTTATAAATATTAATTTATTTTATCAAACATGTATTCCGTGATGTTCTTACAAAACGTATGTTTTTAGTTTTTATAATTAATTAAACTAAATATTATTAATTTGCAAAATATATATCAATTATTTTTACGATATTAGTTATAAATATATGATTACTAATTAGTGTACATTCAAGAAAAAATATGCATCTTAAATACCAAATCTAATATCATTTATACTTATAAAAAATTATTTATACGCATATATTTATTATATTAACTTTTAAGTTTTGATAATTATTTCATTTAAAATTTAATCTAACTGTGTAATTATACTTGTGCAACCAAACAACACGCTTGTAATTACACTGTAATAACGTTATGACAAACAAACAGGTCGTCGTAATTACTAGGTTGTGTAATTACTAGGCTGTGTAATTATTACCTAGTAATTACACCAATTCCAATTACCGGGTGGCTTTCCAAACAGACCCCAAGAGTTTTATTCCCTAATTTTACAGTGTACTAGCCACTGTTCTCTTTTAGCAAATACAGAGTGTCCTTGCCTCCATTCATCCAGTCCTTGTCTTCTAATCTATTAAGCAGATGCCGTAACCTCTCAATCTGAGTCCTTGCAGTTTCTCCTGAGCACCAGCTATTTTTTTCTCCGCGTCGTGCTATAAAATGCCTCTGGGTACACAGTCAAGATGTATAAATCTGGATATACATCTTTTAAGGTAGTGCCCAGTCCATGGGCCCATCCAAATGTTTTCCTGTTCATCACCCACTTTGAAGTGATGTTCATGAATTCTGGCCACAGGTTTCCAATGTGTTTCCATAAATCACATACGATGGAATTTGGACCAACTTTTTGTGCAGCAGCTGTCCATCACTCCATATTTGGTATTGATGATGTTCTCCCACGAGCATTATCTTTCTTAATAAATCTCTACAACCACTTAAATAATAGGCTTGTATTGTTAATGCCCAGATTTCTCACCTATAGATATCTTTGGCAGGATAACTTTTTCCCTCCTAATCAAGTAGAAATTTTTCTGATGCCCGTCACCTTCCCCTGAAAGTTCCTCTTTAGTCAATCTAGTTTCTCTAGAAGTTTTGGGGTAAGAAACAGTAACATCGTGTAGGTTGGCAGGCGACTGATCAGGGTCACTCTACCTCATAAGGGTAAATACTGCTTATTCTCTGCAGATAAGTCTCTTCTCAAACTTGTCAATGACTCCTTGCCATACAGCTGAAGTTTTACGGCTCACCCAAAACGCAATCCAAGTACGTTGAAGAGGATATGGTTATTTGTCACCTCATTCACTGAATATATGTAGCAACTGATCCAATTTATCTGATCCAGTACTTCAAAAGCTATTAGGACCACCTTCAAAATGCATCACTGGAGATTCACCCCACATAAATGCAGATTCCAGCATCCAATGAAAGTCTTCATCACCAGAATTAAAAAGGAAATGATTGAGAAGATCTCAGTGTCCAAGGCGCTTTGTGATTCAAACAGTTCTTCAGATTCTCCATTTAGGATTGGTTATATATGCAGTAAGAGATCCAACTTCCCATTTCTCATCATAGATATCAGAAAAGACCAATTTACATAATCATAATCCTTCTCCACATCCAATTTACAGACTATGCCTAGCAAAATTTACTTAATTCTCGCATCAAAGCATTCATCCGCCACCGAAGCAGCAACAGTTATTCGTGTATCCCTTTAACAAACTCCATCTGTGAGTTAGTAATCAGTTTCCCCATAGATACTTTCATTTTTTTAGACTGCAGCTTAGCAATAATTTTGAGTCAACTCTATGAAAGAAGCATTTATTTTCTTTTCAAATATATACCCCTGAGAAAGAACTTAGTTACTTCCATCATCTCAGCTTTTCCCCAGACCAGCACTTCAGAGAAGATGCCACGGAAAATTCATCAGGTCCAGGGACTTTCCCTCGCCCCCTTCACAACTACTGATTATTTGTTCTACCTCTTTTTCTACAAAGGCCTCTGTGACCAGTTGTTCTCCTCCTTGGAGGAAGGACGTAGTAATCGACAAAATGCTTCGAGGAGTTGAAAATCAGCATAAATCCGGAGATTCCCGAATAGGGCAACCTTTCGAACTGTTGCTGAATCCATGGGCAAGCAAGAGAGAACCAGGCGAACTGAAAGATCTTAATAGGCTCCACTTTCAGATCTTCTTTAAGAAGTTTCAACTTTCTTGCCAGTATGAAGTCAGCTCAGCCTTTAAACGTTGTACGAGTTGCACCAATTGCTTACAAGCAATCATCCTTGTCCAACCAGCTGTTTTATTTTAAAATATGACACATTCCTTTCCCAGTTACCACACGCCAACATAATGGATCTAGTCATTTCCCACATGCCTGTTGAGTAAAATCTCATGTTCATTGACTTTAGTTTACTGAAAGCAATTATGTCTGTGTGCCACTTTCTAACCAGCCTTTTCAGAATAGCCCCTTCCCCATTATCACATTCCAGCAGAATACCTTGATCTTCATCTGGACACTCAACAGACCTCCTACCCTTGCTTCAATCACCTTCATCCCCATAATTTATGAGGAACTCCAGCTTCTTTAGCTACCTCTGATCTCTTCGTCTTGAGCTCTTTCTGCTACTTTAAAAACCAGAGCCACACTTGGTTGTGCTCTCTTCCTCTCTATTCTCATGAACACGTCCATGGCTTCTTTTTCGAAACTCAGAAACTGCATTCCCAATTGCTTACTGAATGCTCTCTTTGACCCAGTTTGACACCTATTTCCACCCAGACTTCTCGATACATGCCGGTAAAATCAACAGTATTAACACCATCACAGGAATGTCAAAGATCTGAACCGCAATTGGTTCAGATTCCTCAAAGGTCCATATCAGGACCTCCATAGGCTCTGCTACCATGTCTCCTTCTTGCTAGGACCTTCGGAGAGTCCTCATTGACGAATTTTCCATGCTCTTTTCAATTCCACATTGTGATCCTCCTCAATTAGAGCAAGATTATTAGAGATTTGTGATAGCATAGGAGGTTCCAACAAGGCACTAATTCCACCTCTAGAACCATCGAGTCCACTATCTCTACCTATGTGTGTATATATTATCTCAAGTGACTGGGCATAAGCATATCAGGTTTAATTTGAGCTCTGCATTTTGTTTTGCAGGAGTCAGTATAGGCCTTACCATTCGGCTTGCTGCTTGCTATCCCAGCCTTTTTCTTATATTTACCCTTTTCCTTTTCTTTACTCTATTTTAATCTGGTTCATTACTCATCTCTCCAGTTTATCAGCTTTTCCTTTATTAAGAGTAAAAAAATGGGGAACTGTGTATCCCCGCTTTCATTTGTATGAAATTTTAAGAGATAGCAGGCCGTATACCTTAGGCCGGCATCTTGTTATGTTCATTTGCAACTTCCAACTTTTCAAAAGCTGGCCACAGGACCTCACCAGAGAACAGAGTTTGGCCATTGACTATCTCTGACCATGCTATTTTTTTTACAATGGCTTTTTCTCACTCTTATTGCGAACTCAACCCAAATTGGAATTTAGAGGATCCAATTCCCACCTCTATGTTAATGGTTGCAGAATCCTTTTCTCAATTTTCTTGCTCTAATTCTCACCTATCTGAAAGGGCGTTTCTCGAGTATCCAAACATAGAAATCCTTCGAATGTAGGTTCAATTGTTTCGAAAAAAAAAATTGATCCTTAAGTGATGCAGAACGACCACCAATCTGATCAGACTTGTTCTGATTCCTCTGTGTTCCAACTGCACGCGATAGTTGGAGACCACTGTTTGAAAAAAAGCCTCTTTCTTTCAATGAACCACTATCACCCATCATAATCCTCTTGACGGTTCGACCAACCCCTTCAGAAGCTAGTTTTAAGACATTACAGATCCACCTTACATTGTCTGTCCATCACCTCCTGCTCATAAATTTTCGTCGCCTCTCAATGAGTTCGAATCTTGCAAGCTTTTTCATTGTTATCGTTTGGCAACTCTTTAATCCAACAGCAGACGAAATTTTCCATTCCATTGTTACCTAAGTTATGTTCCAGTCTCATCCTCCTATACTAAGTTTAAGTTACTAAGAAAATCAATCCAAACGTAAATCCAAATTCACTTGCCAAAAGTTGCTAAAAGAGGATGTGAAGGGTGTGGATTGATGTGTTTTTAGGATTTCAGGATGGTTGATTTCAATTTCTGATCATTTAAAGATGGTTCAGAACTGTCTTATATTGTCGATTACTCGATTTGGAAAGATATTTTTGGTTTTTTGGAGTGTTGGAGACGGTGTATTGCCAAAAAACTAGAGAGAAAGATGAGTTTCTTTCTCCAGGCTCATCCTGTAACTTCAAAAAAATAGCATGATGAACATTCTAAAACTATGAAATACATGATACATCTATCAGGGCCAATAGAAGTTCAACTACAAAAAGCTACTCCAATATCCGAAAAAGAAAATGCACAATTTTGAGAAATTTTAAGAAATCAGACATGTCAAAGATAGTTAATGGTGGAACGCATTTTTAAACTGACAGAAAAATTAATTCATAAAAATGAATTGCCACCAGAACTTTCACTAGCACAAATAATAAGAGAGACAGACAGACAGACACAGACGCCCCACTGAAACCCCAAAAGAGCGGAAAATTTGAAGGATCAGATAGATAATAAGGCAAAATCTAACTTAAAAAGAGAAGTCCAGCAGGAAAAAGTCACAACTGCTATCAAGATTATAGCGTAACGACAGCACAAAGTTACCTTGTGGGCATATTCCACATAATTTTCATGAAAAAGCTTGAAATACTGATGAAGTGTTGATCGGCCTTCAATTGAATCAGCAGCAACGGAGCGTAAATGAGGCGATGAAGGAGGCAAAAGAACTACCCTGGGCCCGGTAAGGAGCTCTTTGCTTATGATAGTAGGAATATCTGTATCTTTTGGTCCCTCTGAGTCTCTGAGTTTGTCAACCTTATCAATAATTGGGGGAACCAGTGTATTCCAAGTCTCCATCTCCAACACTATACACTCGCTAGAAGGGGTAAGACCCACGATCCATGAATCTCCGAAAGAATCTGACAGAGCCAAGAAACCACAAAGTGGGGAGGCTGAGGATGCTTCTCCTTGGAAAGTGCTAAGAACGGGATGCACAGAGGGACTTCTCATCATGTCTTCTTTGCCACTACTCTGATTAGTAAAAGGCAAAAAGTGTAACACTACTGAATCAATTCCTCCATTGTGAAGGCAATATATTCTTTCTGAAATAAGGGGATCAACAAACATCAATATAACAGAACCGCTTCTTCTGGGCAGAGCTAAATCCACAATAGCCAGCCTCAAAAGAGGAGGTGGATGCCCCAACCATAAGGTATGATCAGGTGGCAGGTCAAGCTTCGAAATAGAGGTGTCACTGGACAATGACTCGCAAATCATTGCAAGGCCAACTATACTATCAGTTGAATCCAGACAAACCCGAGGTGGGCTACCGACCTTCCAAACCGGCTGTACTTCATCAGCTAAAGCATCAATTTGCAACTGGCCACCACTCCAAGCAGTTACGACAATAGAATCTTTGCTAACTAAATCATAAAGAAAACTGACAGCACGCCCTTCACAAACTGGAGGATGAACCGAGTCTTCTTCAACGCCGTGACTTACTTTACGTAAGGGCCCCTGCAAGTAAAGCCAGTGTTAAGAAGGTGATATATAGTTGGAAAGACAAACAAATTAGCTTTTCTTAAAAACGATTCCACCAAGAGATTAAGCCAGAGCAAATAAAGTGGCTTGCTTTGTAATCACTGGAAATAACTTCTTTTCCTTCATAGTGAGATAAGGAATAGTAGTGCAGCCAAACTTTGATGTTACCACGTGAAATTAAAATTTCACACAGATTTTTCACTTCAAGAAACAGGAAAAAAGGACAAAATAGTACTCATTTAAGCAAGATTATAGTAGTATTTATTTCAGCATAAAAAGAATAAGAGAGAACAGAAATGAGGCCCTCCACACGAAGACATAAAAGTTCAGTGGATTGCTTTTCCGAGGAGATACATGAAGAGAAGAATGGGAGCCATTTCCGTTGAAATACGGCCTTAATTTGTTTCACCGTGTTTTCCACTGCAATCTTTAGACTAAGGTTTATAAGACTTGTCCGAGTCGGCATCCTTCACCGATACACAAGCAACTGAGACAGAAAAAGAGTGTCTCATCCAACAAGACATTAGCCCATAAAATCAATACATTAGATAATAAGGACAGACGGAAAAGACTTTCTACTGTATCTTGCTTCTTGCTAGAGCAATCCAGCTAGAAAGCATTATGAGTACTTCTTCCTCCGTGTATGCTCAAATGAAAGGTAGAAAACTATTTTGTTCTCCCATATGAATCAGTATCAACCAATCTTCTGTTTTTAACAATACAATCGCTTACAGTATTCAACGGTGTCATGTTACTACAATCAGCAATCAGAGCCATTTTTTACCTCTTCCATATTAGCAGAACGATTAAAAATAAAAACGAGGTAAACATAGATGCATTCTTCCTTCATATCCTTAATCACTGAAAATCAAATTAATGTTGGTCTCTGAAGAAGTTCAAGGTATAAATGGTGCCCGATGAAGTCCAACTTATGACTGCTATATCTAAAATGCACGGTAAACATAATTAAAATATTAAAAAATAATATAGGATCCACTTTTTAAAAATAATATTTACATAAGTAGCCTGTTCCTGCTGTAAGGAAGGACAGCATGCTGCACAGCATATCAACTAGGGCAATCAAATCTGACAGTTCATATTCATGAATATTCACATATGGCATTGAATAACAAGAGAGAGAAAAAACAATTGATGAAAAATGAATCAAGTCATAATGCAAAAGAGATTAATAGCTTGTTTGGCCAAGCTGGAAAAATCAGCTTAATTTGAGAAGTGCTTTTCAAAAAAGTACTTTTGAAGAAAAACAGTTTATGTTTGGCTAATCAATTTGAAAAGCACTTTTGAACAATAATTTATGTTTGGCCAAGCTTTTCAAAAAGTACTTTTATGTGTCAAATTACATATAAGGACATGAAGAGATTTGCTTAATAGTTAATATTATATAAGTAGATAAATAATTACAAATATTTATTATTAAAGATAATAATTAAGTTTTTTATTTTATTTAAGTAAAATATAAAAATAAAATTGAAAAGTACTTTATTCTTTCAAGATAATTTAAATATATCAAAAAATCATCCAATAAATATGAAAGTTCAACCCAAAAGTCATTTTATATTACCTAATAGTTTAAACTAAGTAAGGTTATTTTGGTATATATAATATTTTGCAAAGGTTATTTTTGGTAAGAAGAAAAGTCAAAATTGCTTCTGCTTCCGGAGAGAATCTACTTTTTTCTGCTTCTTCAAAATTGCTTCTGCTTCTAGCCAAAAGCACTTTTTTTTCAAAAACAAAAACTTGGCCAAACACCTCAAATTGAGGAAAAAACACTTTTTTGAAAGAAAAAAAAACACTTTTGGCATGGTGAGAAGCTTGGCCAAAAAGGCTATAAATTCCCTTAACTTTTGCGATGGTTCTCATCCATCTAAGCAAGTCAAAGGGGGTATTGGCGGATATGGACCAGCTGGATATACTCAAGAACATAAGAACTGTTCGTTAGTAAAGTACCTGCAATGAGATTGACGCATCAAATAAAGCATAAGGCTGAGCTCTAAGCACAGAAGCATTTTCTGCATGAACTTCTTTCCGGGCTAGTTCAGGAAATGTTGCTTCCAACCAAGAGATTGCCAAATTTGAGTTTTTCACAGCTTTTGAATTCGATGATTTCAGACCAAACACATGCGCATCACTATATAACTCCAGTATAGATTCCCATTTGTACACACTGTTCAAATGGAAAGAATCTACTTTAGTGAGATCAAGTGAAATATTGCGACCTGCCTCTTGCATAGGCTAAAAATAGCAGACACAAGAAATAAGTAAAAACATTTTCAAATTAGAAGTCTTGAGGAAAAAATGAAACGAGAAATATGGGAGGGGAAATAATTCCTCTTGGGGGAAGACAATAGTCTATGAGATCTCTTATAAAGACAGACAAGCCTATCAAAAAAAAAAAAAATACTACCTATCAGCAGATCAATTTTACAACTGAGCAAGAATAAGAAAAGTCAGAAACATTATGGAAATATATTTTGTATAAAGACCTTTAAAAATAATTTCATATTACTTCACAACCATCAATTCAAAATTAAATTTCTCTGTCCATTGTTATCTCTGAACAAAAGCTTAAGATTAGCAGAACTGTGATCTTTGGTAAATTACCTTCCAAATGGAACAACAGGACATAGGATGTAAACTGAGCCATCACTAAACAAGACAAAAACCTGCAGAAAATAAAATAAAAACTCAACTTTACCACACAAATTTAGAGGGTGTTTGGATTTTTAAGCACTTTTCTAGTTTTTGTGGTGTTTGGGAATGATAAAAAGTGCTTAAAAGCACTTACTTTTAGGCATGAAAAGTACAAAAAAATAAAAAAAAGTTGGGTATTACCAACTTATGGCTTTTGGCTTTTAGTTTATAAGCTACTTTTTAAAAGCCAATCCAAACACCCTCTTAGTGACAGTAAAACCACTTGATCAATAACCACCGCTACCTGGAGATGTTAGATAATGGGCGTTAAATTTGCTTACCCTATATTTATTATTCGATCTATCTGGAAGTGTAAACCTTGTTCATTATATAGTTCTCACTAAAATATCGATACAGCTTTGAATCATAAACTATTACCATGCCATTCCTTTATTCTTATCATCCAACATATCCATATAGCTAAAAGATTATGAATCACTGATGAAGTCCAATCTATCAAGTCCCCAGAATTTGTCATCAGGGCATAATTACAGAATACCTGAGCATATAAGCACTAGGTCTACAGTATAACAGAGAAGTGTTAAAGAATGGAACTTACACTGAACCTGTCCCACAAATGATCACCCCCAAAAGAAAAATCGACGGGGCAGATTGATGTAGCATTGTGCGAACTGCCAGGCTCCACAGGCTGCAAATAATACTCCTGTTCTGGCTGACCAAGGGCCGACGACAGATCATAAACCCTGTATATGAAGAAACATCAGTAAATATAGCTCAATGTAATTTGTCGATAAAAAGAAATAACACATAATTCTCCAATCAGCAAGTGATTTAACATGCATCTGATATGTTAAGAAAGTCGTAGAGAATAAATTTAAAAAAATAAAAATAAAAGATGTCTCCACCACTGGATAACAAAAAGATCATGCCACACTGCAGTTCTACGTGCTCTGACAACTACAAGCCCCAAAAATAGTGATCATTTGCACATGCACACCCAGTGAGAAGTGAAGGGGAGAAGAAGTTACTGTCTAGGCAGTGTCGTTTTATGCAATAACATGGTTCCAATGAAACCAAGGTTTAGGCTCTAAATGTAAATGGATCCAATAACTGACGTTTTCTTGGACTTTGTCAGCTCTCTAGTTTTGTAGCACTTAATAGTAAATGAGCTGTCAAACTCACTTCTTTTGTTACTTTTTGCATCTTCTTGAAGCCTTTTATGATATATTCTACTTACTTCATCAAAAAAAAAAAATCTATCAACTTGTACTACTGCAAATGAAAGAGCATCATCACTTTGTCTTAATGAGCAACCATATGGGTGAAATTACTGACAGCTCATTTCCTAAAGTAAGGTTGTTGTCCTTGTTCATCTTCAATCTTTGGGATTTGTTGCTACTTCTGAACATTTTTCAGCTCACCATGCCCAAAAGGATCAGCAGTTGAACGAATATGCTAATGATGTATTGCATCTGACTTAGACAATTTAGAGAGCTCTCAGATGGCCACGAGTACATTTAGACTCGTGTAGCAGACCAAAAAACAGCATGGTGTTCTCCATAGCTCTCTGTTTTAGAAAGCCTACTTGTACAAATTAGGGAACAATTTAGTTTAGAGATATATCATTGACAGAAAAGCAAACATGACGGCATGCACCCAAAAGAAGAACAGAACAAACGGAAACCTCTTTCTGTTACTTCAAATACTCAATAGATGTTTCACAATCAATGTAGTTTAAGAAAGCCAATTTAATAACATGTTTTCTATGAAGAAGTCCTCGCCACAAGTCTTCTTTTTCTATGTGGAAGTGGCATATGTATTGACAGCTCCCGACAACCATGTAGCACTAAAACACCAAACAAAACCTTCCTCAACAGCCCTTCTTATTGCTTAGGCCTCAATCTCTCAAGGCTATGAGCATGCCACTGATCCTATAATCAGCACTTAAGGCTTTTGTCGGAAAACTAAGCTGGTGCTTTTTCTTCTAAGATTAATGAAGCTAGCTTGGCATACTTTTAGTTCCAATATACCATTCAAGATATGTTGGTGGTATTTGGTTTCAATAATTTGTGAGAATGCACGGGAGAAAAATCTATTATTCATCTTCTAAAGTGTTGCACAATGCCCTATTTATATACAGTGATTCAATAATAATATGTATCTACTTCCTTATGTGGGACACTATACATGACTAACTACTTAACACTCCCCCTCAAGCCGGTGCATATAAATCATATGTACCGAACTTGTTACAGATTTAACTAATACGAGAACCAGTAAAAGACTTGGTGAAAATATCTGCTAGCTGATCATTCGACTTCACAAACTTTGTAACAATATCTCCTGAGAGTATCTTTTCTGGAAATTACTGTTCATGCCGGAAAAATCACTGTTAACGCCAGAAAAATATAAAAGTGGTCGGAATTTGATTTAAATTGGATGGGTATGCTCGGATTTGCAAGGAGAAGACATTGTCCTGAAGAAGTTTTCCCAAATTATGACCGGAAACTGCCTCACGCGCCGACGCGTGGACGTCGAAGCTTCGCCGGAGAAATTCTTCCGACGGCGCGTGAGGGCGCGTGTGCCTTTTCTACCGGAGATCTTTTAAAGGATTGTTCGTTGAGCTCTGATCTACTTCCTGGTGGTGTTGGTTTTTGCACAACACTGACGGATAGTGGCTTTTTACTCGCGGCAGACCTGTGTTTGCCGGAAAAAGACTTCCGGTTAACTGATTTCTCTTCCCGGAGTCGCTAGAATTTATGCACAGCGATAAATCTCTCATGATTGCTCTGATACCATGTGAGAATACACGGGAGAAAAATCTATTATTCATCTTCTAAAGTGTTGTACAATGCCCTATTTATATAGGGTGATTCAATAATAATATGCATCTACTTCCCGATGTGGGACACTGTACATGACTAACTACTTAACATAATTAAACCTAGAGGGAGGTAGTATAGGCAGGCAGATAGGTACAGTATACCTTCCTCAACGGCTTTATCTCTTGCTACCCTCAATGTTATCAATAAATATAGGTTAAGAAAATTTTGCAGTGATTTCTGAATATAGCCATCTTGCTTACAAAGAAAAAAGGGTCAACCAGCAGAGAAAGTATGACTAACATGCAACTTGGGGAGTACTTGTATACCTGGCTAAGAAAGAGTTTAAGTCTTTAAGAGTAATCAAAGAAACTTCATTTTAATTAATTTATTTTTTTTAAAGCAAACTTCATTTTAAATTGAAACCTAGGCATTGCAAGGAGGTCAAATATTATGTAGGAATTTTACAAGAAATATGTCTTTATTCAGAATTCAAAAGTCAAAGACAAATTTGATTAATTTGATTATAGGAACTCATGAATAACAAAGCTTGTAGCATCTACTTTATACAAATAAAGAATTGTTCATAGTTAAGAATCACGTCATTTAAGCCCCCAAAAAAAAGTCAACAGTAAAGTAGGATTAATTTGATTATAGGAACTCGTGAATAACAAAGCTTATGGCATCTATTTTATACAAATAGAGAATTGTTAATAATAGTTAAGATTTCATGTCAGTTAAACTCCCAAAACATGAAGTAATAGTCAAAACTAACATTCCCAGAGCCCCTTCTCCTCTATCATAAAGAAATTCTTCTCTATATCCTTCATTCTCCTTCAAACTTGTCTATTGTCAGCCTATCTAATGGTTCATAAATACAGTTAAAGAAAATAAGTGAGGTCCTCCTGTACCTTAGTTTCAGTCCTGTTTGCACCCGAATATCCATTTAATTTGGTATCCATTAGAGAAACCGAACAACTAAACTGCTCCACAACTTCTTTGGTATACTCAGTACTTGAGCAGGAGCAGCTCACAGAACAAATGATTGGAAGCAACATGACTAGTAGTGTCTCTTCAGCAACATGAAGCAACACATCATTTGTAGCTTGGTAATTCGTTTTAAGTGCATAATAGTCTCTTTTAATATGGAAAACTCTCTTCCATTACTATTTATACTATCTTCCCCTATAATTAAATAATCTCTCATATTAGGATAGGATGTGTCTTGGAATGACTCGTACCTATAGGATGAGGGAATGAGCCATCTTGATGCCTCCTTCCTCGTCTCGAAACCAACCATGGCTTTTGTCCTTGAGGCATTCATATGCATTTCAAACGACCAGTAACCACTAAACAAATTGAAAATCTTAAAAAAGACTAATTGCTTAGATTATTTTAAGCAAAGTCTTTGTCAAGAAACACTAATTTACTATCCCAAGTCAGGGCAACCAGGACCATCTTAACCAAATTTCAGCATTTTTTTTAATAATGATGGTGTTTGGAATAACTTGTGTACTACACCTCGACTATTCCACCAGAGATCTACCTTCTAGCAGCACAGATACCTAGTAAATCTATCCACCAAGGCTTAGGCATATGGGAAAATATCACCTAGTATTTTTTTGTCTATGCTCGGATTTGAACCCCCTGATCTCCAAGGTTTGCATCCGCTTCATTGACCACTAGGCCACATCATTAGGTACCAAATTCCAATAATCTTACTGGAACCATATCATAAGAAAAATGAAGCACATATCAAAGAGAAACTTACTCTTGGGAACTTTGTGTTAAATAATTTAAACTTCAAGATTCTGTCAAAAACATTTACTTCATAGGAAAAAAATGTGATTAAATTCAACTCATCAAAAGAAACAAGGAGCAGAATATATGCCACTTTTAGTAACTAAAACTTATCAAGCAGTAGGAAATCCAGGAGAAGTGCCTTCTGCTCGTGCTAACAATCCTTAAGTAGTAGATAAAGTACCAGCGCCAGTACCATCAATAGTATAAGATATCCAATAGGTGTTAGGTAGGTCTCTCTATGCATTAAACCATGATTTATGAGGATCACGAGGAAGCAACCACAGTTTTTACTGCAAAATGATTACTAATCCAGTTAAGAAGTCTACAAACAAAGATTTAAAAACTCTTTACAGGTTTTTAACATACACCAGTTGAGAACTTTATCATCAAATAGTCCTAATACAAATTGACAATGAAGAAACAAGTACCTGAAAACGGAATCAGAAGAGAGGATTCCCAGATGGGTGTCACTGTAAGGGTGCCAACAAACCTGCAACGTGCGTATTGAGTTGTTTTTGTCAAAGTAAATCTCTGAACCAACTGAAACTGTCCTGCAAGCGACAAAAGGAAATGAACACATTCAAAGTGGCTTCTAGTGCACCGCAACTGATTATCAGACAACAACATAATTACCATCAAATCTTGTTACTGAAGAAGGAATCCATCATGTCTATTTTCATTTAATCTCCTAATACAGGTGAGAGGAAAATCTGGCTGGTCTGTTCAAGGATTACAGTAATAAATATTTTTCACTCTTAAAAAGAAACTCTTCTTCACTTGAATTTTCCTGATATTGCTATTTACAAAATAGAATGTAAATTAGGAGGTCGAAACAAATAACCTGCATTCTGACCCTATAAAAGTCCTTTATTTATATTAAATAGAAACAAATGAAAATAAAACAGAAATTTTGAAGTTTTTATTTTATAATAAGGCAAAATTATTTTGTTAAGATCAGGATAACTCCTGTATACAAGCGATGTATCAAAAAGGGAAGAACCTACACAGAATATGGTTCTCCATAAATGGCACTCAAACTTTTACACAATAAGAACATCATGGGTGCACCAAAGACTAACTAAAACCAATAGGCTATTTCTAAAATGTGCAAAATCTTTTTATACCCCCTCAGAAGTTCTCATTTCTCTCTTTCCACAAGATCCACATGATGGCTAAGGTGGTAACATTCTATGCTTTGCGTCTTCTCTTCTTTCAAAAAGCCCACATATGTAACATGTCCTTTGCATCACCTGCTGCACCTCAGACCAATCGGCTTATGCACAATGCATTAGACTGTGAATTCATATCAGGATGCCATCACTGCTCATTCACGGCATACGTCATTTGATATATTCAAACACTTCGATTTCAAATTAAGAAGAATAAGCCTATTTTTCACCAGAAAACCCCAACAACCAAATTTTGCAATCACTTGCCGTTTTTTAGCTCCTAACTTACTTTCTTCTTAAAGCACAAGGTACAATATCTCTTCACAAGAATCCCAGGAACCATTTTTTACAAAGATTCAGGAGCCATGTGTGAATTCATATCAATCTCGTTATTAGATTAGCAATAGCCAGAACAAACAGATGGTATTACTGTTAGTTGCAGTCACATGAAATCTGAACCGCTTTGAATCAGACGAGACATCAGCATTGTAACTATGGATTCTCAGGCCTCTTGATGAAAGATAAATCTCAAAAACATAAATAAACAAATAAAATAAAGAAAAAACAAAGGGGGAATATTACCTATGCAAGATCAAAATCAGTTTTCAAGAACCAATGCTACTTCCAAATGTTAAGTCATAAGGTTCAAATGATTGGAAAAAAAATTAAAGGAACAGTGGCTTTAAATAGCTATACCAGAAAAGTCATAACTTCTTTCATGCAACGAGCAATAATATTGCATCAGACTAAATACACACAACGCTTTCGAAGATAAAGGAGAATGTACTCTTCAATTGAAAAATTGTTAACAAACATCAACAGGACAATGACGTTGATAACACTATTGTTTTTAACACTTTGGAGCCCAAAGAAAACATAACCTAGCAAAACCAAAAGGAGGAAGTTATACCGGCATATAACTGTATTTTCTTTGGTCGAAGTCCTCCCATAGAGATACATGACGTATAAACCATCCAAGCCAACTAGGAAAAGTGCTGATCCATTTCTATTAATGGAAATTCGCTGAACCTCAAAATCCAATTGCATATCAGCTTGCAGTACCTGAACAACAACCAGCATCACCAAATGCGTAGCTTAAAGCAGTAGTAGCTTGCTATCAGGTAGTAGTACCAATGCACTTCAACCAAAAAAAACAAATCAGCAAACAGATATGTTTTATTTGTCATCATTGGACTAGTGACCTGATAACACAGATAGGAGTGTTAGTCTTCAATTCTTGTGCTATGCATGTCGTTCTTAACATTGCACAACAAGAAAAAGAAGCTTCGAAAGTAGGAAGAGGGAAGCATTCTCTGTAGAAGTCTAGTAGAACAGGTATTCTGGTGTGCAGTAGATAAATGACAGTTCAGCTATCCAAGTGAACATAACTGTCAGATCAACTATTGTCTAACAGAATGAATCTGATATCACAACTATCTCAAAGCCCCAAAAATGATCTGTTTAAATTAAATAAATAGTTAAAATACTAGCCAAGTTTAAGTTAGCATAATTTCCTCTTTCAGATAAAATGCCAAGAGCATCAAAGAATAATGTGCGAGAAGTTCAAATATGTCTCAACTAGGCAGTGCCTGAAAGGCTGAACCTGAAGAAACAAGAGGTATAATAGTTTAAGATCGTGCTGAAGTTTATTCTAACATATAATGCAAATTGTTCAGCTTTATTATGTTTCTTTTGAAGAAGGAAAATCAACATTTCAACAGCAAAGTCTGAGGAACTCAAAGGAGTTATCCCTCTAGCTCCTTGAACTTTGGAGAAATAATCCTATGACTTAGCTCAGGAAAAAGTGAAAAAAGAAGCATAATGTGTTGATACATCCCACAGCCGCAGGTTCTAAAGTTCACAAGGATCAAACAGTCTCAAGGTTCTATCCCCCATTGTCTTCAATAAGCCTAACGAGTCTAGCTTAAGTGTCATATCTTTATAATAATCTCTCTTTTTTGTCATATATCAATCAATTCAGCCTCAATGACAAACTAGTCGGGGTCTGTATATGAATCATCTATATCCATTCTGCTCCATCCGCACTCATTTAATACAATCCATACGTATAAAATTTGTTCTTTTCTCTTCTCTTTTTTTTTTTTTTTTT